CACGCACGCACGCACGCACGGTTCAATGCATACCGATTCTGTGTCCAGGCAAATAAATACATGAAAGTGGGGAAGCCAAGATCAGGTTGTAAATGCATAAATTATCCTACAGTGGAATTGAATGTGCCTCAATTGAGACAGATAAGCATCCTCGCACATGATACATGCTCTTTTGAATGAACGCTGACCCGCAGCCTCTATAGTTGGCTTACTTACAGGATCATAAACTATGTTTGGTCGACCCGTTGATTTCACGAATACAATGTTTCTGTTCAAAGGTCATCTGTCCGGCCATCTCGCCTATGGATAAGCCGCACGCTTTCATTAGCCAGTGGCGGTGGCGGTGGTTCGTCAAGCAGAGTTTCTTTCTCCTTGTTTATTTTACAATTCCTATTCGAGATATTATTTCTAGCTTTTGTCTTAAAATAAACCCTACTTATGTTAAAGTTGTACATTTGTACGTAAAGAGAAATTTACCAGCCAAAAATATGTTGAGAATTAAAAATATCTGCATGAATAATGCCGCGCACTGAAACACGCGTAACACATATTGTGTCTCCTTAGGCAAGTGACTTGCAGTCAATGGGTACCCGGTAGAATGAGATGTAATGTGACTGTTAACCTTCAAGCACCTCGCAGGCAGCTTGGGTTGTATACTCCCCAGGGAGCTGAGAAGGAAATCGAGTTCACACTGATCCATTGATCGGGATAATAATAGTGTACGCTTTAGGGTGTGGATTTGGTGCATTATTATTATTATCATTATTATTATTATTATTTCAATCACATTGGTGTCAAGACAGACAGAAAATGCAATGATATAAATGATTTCATTGGATTTATAAAAAATATAAGGTTTGTCGGCCTGGATACGTCTGAGGCTGTACACGGGCCTATTCCAAAGCATTTTGTATTTATCATTTTCCATGACGCCCTCTACATATTCCGGGTCGTACCATGGATGGACCTCTGTGTCAAAACCACAAGCATGGCGAAGACATGATCGAGCTACACCATCATGTCGCTTAAGATACTGTGTTTGTGCAAAAGCTGGGCATCCACTGACAATGGGTTGGACAGTCTCATTAAATTCATTGCATAATCTACTTTTCATATTTACATTTTGATGCAAAATCACACACTGACGGTTTCGAGCGGGAAGTGACTGGTCCTGAGCAGCTAACAGAATGCCTTCTGTTTCACTTTTCAGGCCAGCCGACTTCATCCAAGCGAAGGACTCTGCAGGGTTGCTGATCTTCTCAACACACTGCACATAAACTCGATGCAGTGGTCGTTCAGATAGCCTTTCCTTGAAAAACTGAGTCTGGGCCGGTTTGATATGGCACTTCACTTGGCTGACACTCATTTCTGAACCTTCCAGCAGTACAGTCCAATATTATTAGGGTAGAATAGGTCTCCAGCAACCCATGCTTGCCGTACAAGGCGACTATGCTTGTCGTAAGAGGAGACTAACGGGATCGGGTGGTCAGGGTCGCTTACTTGCTTGATGCATGTCATCGTATCCCAATAGATTCTCATGTCAATCACTGGATTGTCTCGCCCAGGCTCGATTATTTACAGACCGCCGTCATATAGCTGGGATATTGCTAAGTGCGGCATTAAACAACAAACAAACAAAACAATATTATTATTATTATTATTATTATTATTATTATTTGGGGTATCCTATATTGTCCACCGTCATCGGCACAATACAGGCTATCAAGGCACGATGACACACAATCAGCCAAGTGACATGTATGTACTTTAACTTAACGGGAATCTCATAAAAAGCAGTAATGTCTATACTTAACAGGTAACTTAGTGAAATTCATAATTTAATTTAATAAATGTAACAGGAATGCATTGACTGTAGATGAAGTACAGCCGACAAGCAATTCACATTTAAATGTCTGTAACGACGTTAATTGATAGTAATGCATTGATTGTAACCCCAAGACTATGATTAATGGAGTTTTCGAACTATACCCTGGGAACTAAGAATAGTGTTTGTATGTGTATGCGTCAGACATACTTATTTCATTCGATCCAGATTAACTACAGACCGCCGTCCTATGCCTTGAATAGTTAAACAACAGATATAAAAAATATTCCATTAGACTTCGACCGAATCGGCAAAATACAATAACCTACTGAAACATTATGTCTGTGCATCTGAGCCTTAATAAAGTTAAAATAATTACATGTATCTGTTGACTTTCGGCTTCCCAGCCACGTCCTTCCTAAATACAAGTAAATAAACAAACAAACACACACACGCACATCGTCAAAAAAGTTAGAAACAGATGCGATTACTTATAGCTGATAATGATGAAACAAAACGAAGTAGACAAAAAATAAAATCGTTATAACAAAGAACATTTGCCCTTCTGTGGATAGTTAGTCATTTCAAGGTTGCGCCGATAGTTATGTTTGTGTCACCCAAACAGGGACGTCACGTTCGGGCGATCATATTACACCACAGCGTCTGTGGTGTTCTTGGATCATTATTACAAACACGTATAGCAACACTGTGGGAAATAAATGTTTATACAAAAGTTTTCTTTTCAACTGGAGTTCTCTGTTATTTGAGACTCGATTGGTTGTAATATAAGTGTTAATTGATTACAAGTTGACAGGTAAATATTAATTACACCAACAAATTAAAAGGAATGATCTTAATTTACAACTTCTTTTCTAGTTCATATATATATATACATCGAAATGTATGATTGTAATTAATAAGCATTCATGTTCCATATCGCACACTGTTTGGATTTTGCCAATTTAATAATGTATACGTGTTAATAAAAATAAAAATATTACAAAATATTTTTAAAATGTTGTTTGTGTTCCGCCTTGTAATGATTCTGAAAGTAATATAACTGCCAGAACAGCATTTACTATAAGTGGAAGTACCCCATACTTCGCCAACCCTTACTTGCTTTTAAAGGCGACTATACTTGTAAAAGGCGACTAATGGGATCGGGTGGTCAGGCTCGCTGACTTGATTGATGCATGTCATCGTATCCCCAATTGCGTGGATCGATGCTCATGCTGTCAATCACTGGACTGTCTGGTCTGGTATTTTCAGACCTCCGTCATATAGCCAGAATATTCCTGAGTGCGGCGTTAAACAACAAACAACATAGGTGGTAGGTATGCCGACCTATTTTTGCACCATCTGAACGTTTATTATGCATTGTGTAGGAGTTACCCCGACCAGTTGTAAAACCATTAAAAGCAATATATATGTCTGGAATCTCGTTGAAATATTGTTTAATACGATGTCAGTTTACGATTCATATTTAACACTTAGGCCCATAAAGATATATTTTCGGTATCTCTAGGACTGTTTGATATTAAGAACCAATACATGTCAGTGTAGTCAATTCAAATATTTAAAATATCATATGTAAAAGGGATACTTAAACTTCAAGTTGTTACAGCCACCCGTTAGGTTGCATTGTGAAGGAGCCGTTTACTGGGGGCTGGCATAATGGTTTGATAACAGATAGGGTGGTGGGGTGGTCTTGGGTGAAAGTGTTCGCTCGTAACGCATAAGGACCTGGACCGCAAAAAATCCCCATATGGGGACACTGTGTGATGCCCTTTTCTGTGTCCCCCTGCTATTTCCTGGATTATTGATAAAGCGTCGTAAAACATAACTCTCACACTCAAATACAATGAAACCTCTATAATTCGGACGTTACCTTTCCAAGTAAACCCGTCCGGATTAACAAATGTCCGGATTAAGGAATGGTGAGTACGAAGTAATGTCTTTAAATTGTACATTCATCTTAACGTTCCGAAACGTAATCGTCCAGATTGGGTGTTTTCCAGTATAACGGAGTCCAGTCTAACATGCTCTGCACATATATTTCATGAAATACTCACAGCAAAATGGGTAACATGATCTGCACATGTGAGATCTCGTGAAATACCCTCTCTAAGATAAATAATACATGAATTATTTGCGAAGAAAGTTCCGTTAATTGACCCACGTAGCCCGCACAGTAGGGATGACGTCACAGTTGCCAGTACAGTGGGAATATGTACTGACCAGTGTGTTACAGTGTGTTGTCAATAAAAAGTAACGTCAATGATACGACCAGCACACTGTGGTACAGTTCGTTGATTTCAGGAGTTTTTAAAAAACAAAACAAATCATCTCAATTTTGTTGCAAGGAGAGTAGCATATAATCAATTGTAAGGGGAGACATATCTAGGTCAGTAATCACACCTGTTATCTTTTCCAGCCTGATTAGGTCCGCACATTTCCAATAGATTAAGGATTGTGTTATTTATTTTGAATGTACATACACAGGTCTGTGGTACATATCTTAGTTCATGGTTGTACCATGTGCGGCATGCTAGACGTAAATGTAATCTTATGGTTTCAGAACCTAAACCAGGATCACTATTTTGTATGTACACATTACAATTCTGCATAAGATCATCACAGCACCACACAAGTTTTAAAATGAATTCTTCTTTAGTGAAAAACATGATCCAATCCCCTGTATTGTCATATGAAACTTAACATAAAAAAACATTATTTCTGCTAGGTTAATGTCAAAACCTTATGCACAATAGTACCAAGTACAACGTTGATTGCCAATGAGTCAACGGGGTTTCTACCGGCATGGATGTCTCCATTGTTTGTAAGTAGAATCTTGGGAAAACGTTTGAGAGTCAACTCGTGAATTAGATTTAAGAGAACGCCACTACCTGACTAACCTATTCCTGTGCCATAGTTTGGACATCCATTGTCCATTTTTTAAAGCTTGAGTTAAAAATTATTTCCTAAAGGTATATGATCAATTCACCCTGTTGGCTGAATGTATTCAACCACAGAGAGACCTCTGAAAATATATTTATTGTTTAAGCATCGTTAAAGTGCTCTGTAGTTTGCCACGACGAAATTAATTAAATGGACGGTGAAAAAGAAAATATTACATAAATTGGGATCCTTATACAATGCGTATGCTAGCACTTACCATGGGCATCTCCGTTTAGAGCTCGTGGATCCAGGATGATTGAGTGTTGGTCGTCGTATTGGAAGCCACCGTTGACAAGTCCGGCAGAACTGTTCGGTGTTTCTTTTTCAATCTGGGTAGCAGCCGTCAAAACGGCAGAACCGTTCTTCTTTGTCATTGTGACGCTTGCGAGATGTCACAAATTGTCAGGAGTGGTTGTCTTGAAAATCCCTTAACAAAGAATCAACAATGTCTAACTATCGCCCCCTCCTCAAAATGCAGGGGAAATCCTTAAAGAAAACAGATTCGAACTCGTGACTGGCACCAGTGTCCACACTCGTAATTGACATCAATGGTCCGTTGGTTAAGAACAAACCTATCTTCAAAGTCCAACTTGGGTGTCAGCGGTTGAAATTAGTAAACACGCAATTCGAATTCAGCGATGTGTGCCGTATATAAACAAATGACCAAAGGGACGCAGAATGCCACTCCGCGCGTTGCGTTGATAAGAAACCCAATGATTTTTATCTCACTGTTAGCTGTCGCCTAAGTAGGGACAAACCACATGACAAGCACCTCGAGCCAATAACAAACTGGATCGAGATTTTGTCATGCGCAAAAAGGACAGAACGTGTATGTGCATCCTTCGCTCCAGTAAGCGATTGAATGTATACATATACATGGTAACGAGCCATCTGTATTCAAATATATCATCAAGGTGATAACTTGTTACACGTTTATTGTTAAAACACATAATTTTCATAAACTGGTCAAGAAAATAATTAATTCACGAACAGTGATTACTCTGACGGATAAACAAAGCTTATGATGAACAACAATTGTTTTACCCGATGTGGTTTTGAGAATCCGACTTGAAACCAGCGTACAGTTTTGGTTATACAGGACTTGCTGCAACATGTGTGTATAATGTGTCAATATTTGAAGTATGTATTAAGGGCTGAAGAGACTCTCATGTGGAGCGAGATGTGAAGTCCCATCAATTAGTCCCAACACTCAAGGTGTAGTAACGGTTGATGGAGTAATAATATCATTTATTCTGCATTAACTCCTGCACTGATCATTGCAGGGGTGTTTGCTAAGCCCTTTTCTTTTATAGATTTGAGCAAAAAACCTCTTTCATGGTTTTGTTGTTGCTCTGAATGATACCTCAGCATTGAATGATGGTAAGATGATGCAATACGGCTCTATGCAGCATTCCGGGACAATAGCTTCACGCAAGAGTCGGTACTTGTTTAATGCACAGCGGCAATAAACGGGTTCTCCGAAACAGCTGCGAGTACACAATACTCTCCGTCTCCCTCAGTGTCAATTACCTGCTGACGGAATGTTGCTCGTCACATGTCACAAGTATAGAACAGCGGATGATAATGTCCCGTGAATGGTAATATACTGAACCAAATTAAAAACTTCACAATCCTAAAATGTTAACATTTTGACCAGTTATCATTGTGGGCCCTAATTGTGTATTTAAACAGTAATGTCCACGTATTGTCTTCAGTTAACACCCGTTTTTGTGCAGGTGAATCGATAAAAATCATGTGCACAGCACTTTAGTGGCAAAAGTGGTTTTTCACGTGCAACTGGTCACGTGGCCATAATACCGCACGTGTTTTCAGCCATACTTGTTAGCAGTCATTAACAAAAAAAGAAAAACACAAGAAAACAAAAGTCTTTACGGCCATTTGTCATGCCACGCCTTTCAAATGTGCAACGTGAACGTGCAATCGGCATGCTGCAGACGGGAACGTCCGTAGCTGAAGTCGCAAGGACGATGGGTTGTAGTCGACGGACTGTTTATGATTTACAGATGCGTCTACAGCAAACGGGTACCACCGCTGATCGCCCTCGGCCAGGTCGACCACGTGTGACGTCTCATGCAGAGGATCGTCAGATTATCTTACGTCACTTCCGTAACCGATTTTTGACGGCTACATCAACCAGAAATGAACTGTTTAGGGATAGACTGAGTGCGCAAACTGTTCGAAACCGCCTGAGAACTGCTCACCTTCAAGCACGACGGCCATACTGCGGGCCGATTCTGACTCAATTACACATCAACGTCAATTGTGGGCACAGCGACACTTACGATGGACTCAATTGGAATCAAGTCGTCTTCAGTGATGAATCCCGATTTAATCTTCGATTTGCTGATGGTAGGGCGAGGGTGTGGAGGTGCCGTCATGAACGTTGTACCCAGTGTTGTGTACAGGAAGTTGACAGATTTCGAGGCGGAAGTGTCATGGTGTGGGGTGCTTTCTGTGGCAATGCACGTTCCAGGCTTCTTGTCATCCGTGGCAACCTCAACGCTGCTGCTTACCGCGACAAGGTACTGACACCAGAACTTCTGCCTTTTATGGCAGCACATGGACCCGGTTTGATCTTCAAACACGACAATGCCAGACCCCACACAGCAATTTTGACAAGGAATTTCCTTCAGAATGCGGGAGTCAACGTCATGGACTGGCCATCAAGGTCTCCCGACCTCAATCCCATCAAACACGTCTGGGATGCTCTTGGCAGAAGTCTGCGCACTCTCCAGAACCAACCACAGAATTTGCAAGATCTTGGCACCATTTTGCAGCAACAATGGCGTCGTCTTCCCAATCATGTGTTCACAAGCATCTCAAGGTCCATGCGGAGGCGTTGTGTGGCAGTTGTCAACGCACATGGTGGCCATACACGCTACTGAACTTGTGTGCCATCAGATTCTCGTGTTTGGGATTTATGATTTAAACATTTGATGTTATTACCGAATACCGTAGGTGCTTGGAACAAATTATGGTTACCACCGTTAATTAAAATCCTTCTTTGGTCATTAATGATTAAAAATTACCTTCTCTGATACATTTGTCCGTCCGATATATATATGGGATTACTTTTTAAAATGTGAAGTTTTTAATTTGACTCAGTATATATTAAATTAATATTTCATAGAAAAACGTGTGGTAACAGTCCGTGATTTGTGCACACGGTGACAGAATTCAATATCTTTACACAAATGAAAATGTTAAATAAAAAATCTATTTTGTAGTATTGAATAATCATACAATTATTAACGATGGTACACGAAGAAAGGCCCGCCAACAAACCGACACAGTTTGTGTATAATACACCGATTAAAAAACAAAACCTCTCCGTCAAGATATCATTTAAATGAGATGTTAATCGGAACAACAGGAAATAAAGAGCTGTTGATACTACTGAAAATACTCCAGGGTCCCGTTACACTAAGACTGTCATAAGTCTATGTTAAAGTATGGGAGTTGTCTGTCATATATAGACCTTGAAGCAAATATATCCAGTACAGCCCATGCAAGTCTATAATATTTGGCATTTAGATTCCTGTAGTATATTGTTTTCTGAATTGATGCATACCTATCTCTTCAAACAAGGTGTTTTTATAAAACGGAATGAAAAAGTCATCATTTTGTTCAATAACTATAGCTATCAATAAGGTTGGCTGCACGTAATAAAATGAACAGAATGATGTATGTAAGTAAGGATAAGATTACATGGATGAACAACTTCTTTATTTCATGGTGTTAGAATCTACATCAAAACGTCGCTCCTAATTGTAAATTGTTCATCCATATATCTTATCCTTACTTACACTCTTCAAAACAAGAAACGCACAGGTGGTATGTAGTTCATTGAAACTGACTATACAAAAAATCCGGTATATAAATTGGATGTATGTTATTGGAAAATGTTGGTGGCCTGATATTCGACAAACGGTGTGTCAAATGCAGCCATTGTCGATATGCAATGTCTTAAACGGCATTGTTTTCACACTTGTCATGGAGGAAAACAGTAAAGCAAAACGCACGTGCAAGTTATGGCATTCGTAACTCGTGGTAGTGGTTATAAAAAGGCTAGCACGAGCCAATAATTTGTCATTCAATTGTCAACATTTTTCAGGTTAGAAAATGCCGAGACTCAGCGCTGCCGATCTGAATCGCCGTAGGACGTATCCAAAGAGGGGAATCGCAGTCTTCTGTTGCACGCCACTCCAACGTCCACCACAGCACCATTTGCCGCCTTTGTGACCATTACACACAGTTCAATTCCACTGCAGACCGTCCGAGAACCGGCCGACCAAGAGTTACCACCGCTTATACAGTCAGTGCCGAGGAGACGAGGAGATGCAGAGCCGTGATTGCTGGGTCACACGAGATATTGAGTTCAGCGCAACCTTGTGGCCTTATGTGACATGACAATGAACAGTTTTCAATGCCTGTGTACAACGATAACATGTGACTATCAAGCTCCAAAATTTCATATTTGTATCTATGACTTTTAATTAAATATATCGACTTTATTAGGTAGAATAAATTTATTAAATATCTACATGTGTGTTTCTTTTTTTGAAGACTGTATTACTCTAACCTCTGAAGGCAAAATGATTTAGTTTGATTGTGTGTGCGTGCGTGCGTTCGCGTTGTTTAACGCCGCACTCAGCAATATTCCAGGCATGTGACGGAGGTCTGTAAATAATGGTGTCTGAACCAGACAATCCAGTGTTTGACATCAAGAGCAACGATCTACGCTTTCGGGGTACGAACGCATGCCATCAACCAAGTGACGAAGCCTGACCACCCTATCCATTTGGTCGCCTCTTACAACCCGCAGGGGCCTAGTCTAACAGAATACACGGTTGTGTGCTGAATGCAAATATCGGGATGACGTCATGTACTCCATGTGACCAAATGATGATCTCTGATTGGGCAATATGTTACGCCCATCACTTCAATGTTTCTATGCGTTACACATGTGAGGACAGTCTCAACTGCAATAATGCAATGACTGTAGGGTTATGTAATTCACTTTAGAAATTTTATGTCGACCAATCAAAAATAGAATTATCGTGTAAATGTTTCTTTTAAAGCATTAAGAAAACGACGTTGAATATGTTGTGTATGTAGATTGAGGCACCCACCATTTGATATTCGCGGGGTAATGATACAGTGGGTGGGATGATATGTAGTTTAACGTCACCTTCGCGTTTATTGCAGTAACATAGTGCGTGCGTGCGTGCGTGCGAGTGCGTGTGTGTGCTTCTAGTAGTCCGGACTAAACCGATTTGATACTGTTAGCCAAGGGAGATACCACGCCGCAGTTAAACATGGATACACAACTCAAACACAGAATACTGACTTCAAGCCGACCAGTCCTTGATTTAACCTTTCATGCCGAGTGCCAGACAGGGAAACAATAAGTACCATCTTTTAACGTCCTTTGATATGATGCGGCCGGGAATTGAACAAGCGAGCTTCCGCTATCTGGGCAGACGCTCTATCAGCTAGACCACGGAGGCAGTCAATGACACACTGAAGGTTGTTTTAAATATGTATTTTAAGCTGTTTCATATGCAGAAATAACAAATTCTCTTGTGTGGAGCAGACATAAGTCTTTTGGCACTTTGAAATTCACGAAAAAATACATTTATTGGCACATAAAAAGTTTGACACGCAATCACCCAAGTCACCGAGCTTGACCAC